CATGGGAGCATATTTTACTATTGCACAATGAAAACAATGCTTGCCAGGATCTCTTTCCAACTGATGGAAGCCCCCCCCCCCGCCCCACAGTCTTCCCTTAGGGACGTTCTATTGTGACTCGCAGAGGCCCCAGTGGGATTGCCTTTTAATTTCCCAAGATGAAAATCACTTAGGTAACTCACTATCTTGGTTTTCGTTTGGAAACAGGCTTACTATATAGCCCACTGTCTTAGCATTCTGAGTCCTAGGGTTACATGTATGCATAGGTCAGTAATTTTTTTTTTTTTTTTTTTTTTTTTGCCTTTTTGAGACAGAGTCTCCCTGTTGCCCCAGCTATCCTGGAACTCACTATGTAGACCAGGCTGGTCTTGAACTCACAGAGATCTGCCTGCCTCTGCCTCCTGAGTGCTGGGATTAAAGGCGTGCACCACCACACCCGGCAGGTCAGGGCTTTTAAGTTTTAAAATTGATTTTCTTTTTTATGTGAGAGATTTAATGCAACCTGGGTATACAGATATATAAAATAGGCATCTAAATCAAGCAGTTACTGATAATTCATAAAGAAACATGTTAAACAATTTCAGTATAAATAATTTTACCATTTTAATATATTTTAAATTTCTTATATTTATTTTATGTTTATGACTACTAGTGTACTGCCCACATATATGTAAGCATTTCATTGCCCTTGTGTCATGCAATACCCACTGAGGTCAGAAGAAGGTGTCAGTGTCAGATTTTTGGGGACTGAAATTACAGATGGTTGTTAGCCAGTCCTTGGGCACTGGAAACCAATCAAGGGTTGTATGCAAGCACAGCCAGTGCTCTTAACTGCGGATCCATCTCTCCAGCCCTAGTTTTACATTTTATTATAGATAAAAGCAAGTTGGTATAATAATGAGATGGGTATGCTTATTTTTTTTTACATAAAAACTTAGATCTTGGATGACAAATAATTTTATTTTTGTTTGTTCATTTTGTTTGTTTGTTGTTTTGTTGAGACAATAGCTCTCTATTGTCCCAGCTTACCTAAAACTCTCATTGTAGAACAGGAAGGCTTCCATCACCTAGAGATCCACATGGCTCTGCCTCCCTCCGGAGTGTTGGAGTGTTGGGATTAAAAGCATAAGTTATCATGCCATACTTGGATGAATAATTGATATTGTTGAATACAGACCATCCTTTTTGGAGTTGATTTATATTTTGACTTTTATACTCAATGGTGGAGAGAATGTCACTTTGAATATAT